CACCCCCGCGGCACCGGGAACCGGCACCGAACAGTCCTCCGGGAACACCCTCCCCAAAAAACACTCCCTGAAACAGCCCCCCAAAACCCCTCCCGCAAACAACCTTCCCAGGTATTGCCCCCGAAACACCTTCCCTGAAACTTTCCACACAGGAATAGCTCTGAAAATCCTTTCCCAAAACTGTCCCCTAAGGAACAGCCCTAAAACACTCTCCTCAAAACAGTTTTCCCCAGGAATAGCTGCAAAACATCCTCCCTGAAACAGCCACAAAAACTCTCCTACTAACAGCCCCTCGAGGCTCTGCCCCCCAAAACACCCTCCCTGACAGAGCCCCCCAGGAACAAGCCAAACAAGTCCCTAAAACAGTTCCTACCAGGAAAAGAATAAGCCCCAAACACCTTCCCTGACAGTCCCCAGGAATAGCCTGCAAACACCCTTCCTGAAACAGCTCCAAAAACTCTCCCACAGTCAGTCCCTCCAGGCACAGCCCCCAGAACCCCCTCCCTGACACATCCCCCCCAGGAAGAGCTCCAGGACAGCCCCAGGCCGTGGTTACCATCAGTTTTTATTAACTCCTGCTCCCACCCCGCAGAGAGGGCTCAGCAGTGCCCTGAGGCCATGAGGGTCATAAGGCATCGCAAACGCTGCAAGGACAAGCCCTGAATTCCACATCCCGGCAGAGGAACTCGCTCCCACGCTGCTCCAGAGGAATTAGGGACACACAGGGAAGTCATCAGCTCCTCCACTGTGGGCATCATCCTGGATGATTCGGTGCCCGTCGGCACATGGAGGGTGCCAGGTGCAGTCCCAGTGCTAGGGCAGATCCAAGGAAATGTCCCCATGCTTCATTCCCTGCCCCACTGGAGACAGGAATCCAGGAGTTGGGACTAGAAACACTTGTTTTTCTTCTTGGGAAATCCTATGGTGACACCCACAATTGTTTTATTGCCTTGTTCTCAATAGGAAATGAATTATTATATGAAGTTTTTTTGGTTAGAAAACAGGTTATCCACTGCAGATCCAGACAGGAACCGAAGGCACTGGAGAGCTGAGAGCTGCCCCAGCTGCCTTGGTGATGAAGACACAGGTAACACCCATCACACCTTGCTCAATCCATGCCAATCTGTGCCAGCTTTATGCCTTGTAGCTCAGCTCTGCGTTCATCTTGGTGTACATCTCATAAATGGCATCCAAGATCGGAGTGACCCTTGTGACAAACTGATGGATTTTTTCTATGCTTTCCTCTTCCTTGACTTCTTTTCCCTTCTCCAATGCCTTCAGCAGATCAGATTTGTAGGGAAGAGCATAGACTGAGCCCTAGAAAACAGAGAGAAGGTGTTGATTCCTACAAACTCCACGGAGAACATGGGTTGGGTTGTTCCTGTGTGCTGATGAGTGTCCAGAGACCCCCAGATGGGATGCCGTGGGGTCTCTGGACACTCATCAGCACACAGACACAATCTTAAGGATGCTGATGGCCCCTTGGAGATGGAACACTCACTGTGAAGAGCTTCTGCAGCATCCAGCCATGGTATTTTTTCAGGGCGATCTCATAGGCCTTCAAGGCATTCACTCGGATGAGGTTGGGATGCTCCTCGTCCCGCTCGCCGTCGGAGATGCTCTGCAGCAACACCAGCATGAATTTCAGGCCCCTGGGAGAAGAGTGGAGATGGTGGGGTTGGGGAAAATGGTGCTGGTTCCTAGTTTCCAGACTGGAAACCCAAAATCCCCCATGGTTTTGGTAGCAGAGGGATCAGGGAAGGATGGAGTGCTCCAGGTTGGGACATGGGGACTGGAGTAGGATGGACCCCACTGGGATGAGGACATGGGGACCAGGGCAGGATGAAGACTCCTGGATGAGACACTGGGACTGAACAGGAGAATCTCTGGAGGAACACAGGGACTGGGGCAGGATGAAGTCCCTGCTGGGGGACACAGGGACCAAGGCAGGATGGAGCACCCAGACAGGACAAAGGGACCAAGGAAGGATGAAACTCCCAGACAGGACATGGGGACTGGGACAGGATGGAGCCCCTGAGACAGTACACAGGGTCCAGGACAGGACAGAGCCCCTGGGTGAGGCTGGGACTGTGGGCTGAGTTTGGCTGGACCAGGTGCAGCTCCTTGTGCCACCACAAGGTCCTGATCTGTCCAGCCAATCCAGGGTCCCACGCTCTAAGGGTGAGTATTCCATGTGCATTCCCATGAGAAATTTTGAAGAGGGAGTTCCCAACAGTTGTGCCCCACAGAACGCAGCACCCCACGCAGACCTCAGTCCACAGGGACCATCCCAACCCACGCAGCCATTCCCAGCTCCCACGTGCTGGGGCCCAGCCCAATGCAGCTCCTGACACTGTGACTCACCTTTTCAACCACATCAGCGCCAGCGTCGCGCCCGTCTTGGGCCAGGCCGAGCCGTGCAGCTCCTTCTCCACCTCCAGGATGTTCTGCAGCGTTTTGAACTTGGCAGGGTTGGAGTCATACACCGCCCGGATTTTCTGCGGGCAGAGCAGGGGGTTGGCTGCGGGAGTGACCTGGCAGGGCGGCACAGGGGCGGGGAAACGGCGGCTGCAAAGGGATCTCGGAAAAAAAACGGGAGAAAGAGGGCCCTGCCACTAAGCCTGGTAGTCCCCGTGGCAAGAAAAGCCCTTTGAAACACCTCCAGGTGTTGTCTCTCCGATCCCACAGCATCTCTGCCCTGGGGTTCACCCTCCTGAGCCCTCCTTGCCCCCTCCTACCTTGATATTTCCAGCCAGGTCTGCTTTGACCGGGGAGTAGACAATGGGAGTCCCCAGGCAATCTGTGGAAACACAGAGGAGGGATGATTAGATGTTGGCGGCACAGGAGACGCCACAGAATTCCCACAACCAACAGGATTCACCTCTAGCATAGCCTGGGCAGCGAGACACATGCCAGTGAGACTTGGGAATGGCTCTCTGGAAACAGGTTTCACCTCTAGCACAGCCTGGGCAGCGAGACACATACCAGTGAGACTTGGGAACAGCTCTCTGGGCTTTGTGCATGGGTGCCAGCCCTTGGGACAGCCCTGCCACCCACCAGCGACCTCCAACCTCCCTAGCTCTGGGACACGGCCCTGGCAGAACGTCCTGGAACAGCCTGACAGGCACAGGACTCTGCCCATTCCCAGGCAGGGAGTACCACGTCCTGCCCTTCCGGAGCCATCACACAATAGCTGACATTGTGGAGGGTACAGAGCCGGCACAGGCATCGTGACACGAGAACTACCACGCTGCCACCCACCCATGTCCCGACACAGGGTGGGCTGGGACCTGCTGCCCTATGAGATGCCTCTGGATAAGGCATTCCCAGGCATGGGAATAGCAGGACACTTCCCAACAGAGCAAGTTTGACAGGACTATGATGCAACCCTGCCCAGCCTCAACCAACCAAGCCCAGGGTGAAGAAAAAAAATCCCTGCCAGTTTTGGAGCTTGCAAACAGCGAGGAGAAAGAGAACACACCACAACCCAGGCCTCTCCCCACCCCATCTCCCCCTCCACCCGCATTCTCACCGAAAAACGGAGGCAGGTGAGCCACGGCCTCCAGGAAGGGCAACGTTTCGATCTGCTTATCAGCCGGCAGCGGCTTGAACTCGTGCTCCAACAACAGCGCCATGACGCGACGAGAACCCCCTCCCCTCGCCCCCTCCCAGCCG